TTTTCCACTCATTCTGTACAGAATAAACGAAACCTTCTACTCTGCCCTCTCATTTCTTTCCCTCTCCATGTGGATTTGGGTCTGAAGATCGCTGCGGCTAGGCTTTTCTCCATTAACACAAAACAACCCCGTAAAATACCTCGCTCTCCTCAGGAGTGGTGAAAGTATCTACTGGCGATGCGGTTTCCCGACGAATTTTTTTCTTAGCTGGTATGGAGACAAGATCAAGACCAAATTCGCAAATACCCGTTGATCCTGCGCCAGACGAATTGGGAAGTGATGAGTTTCATTTGCGCCCAAACTACAGGGAAGGATAGAGATATCTTGAAGAAGTAAAGAGGGGTCTTTCCCGCAAAATCCGGGATGTTCCTCTTCAGGTCGTTGAACTTCAGTAATAAGTGTTAATTCCATGAGGTGTGTTGTGACGCAATCAATCGCAAAAGAGAAAAAGGCGGTAATAATTTACCATCTCCAGGTAGTGGCCTAACTAACTGAGTGTGTGGGGGACTGGACCATTTGTACCTGCTGAAATGTTTTCACCTCAATATTTGGCGCCAACACTAATCCCTAGGTAAAAAAAGCACAGGTACGTTGGACTTGTAATCAAAAGAGGGCGTGTCACCTGCAGCTGCGCATGGCTGACTGACGACAAATTTGAAGCTATACGTTTCTGCTGAAAACTTTTGAAAGTTTTTTTCATAACAGAGGCGTATCTCTGCCCGCCCCTAAAAATTACCATTCCAGTTTCCCTAGCTTCCGTTGGTAGTGTCCGTCTATCTTATCGTCACCGAAAGAAACGGATCTAGGAGTTAACAGATGAATAGATACGGTTGTATGCACTCCAGGGAAATTGGTGACCAATAAAAAGGAAGAGGCTCATATGTAAGTGCCTGGGGCAGGACTCCCATCACAACTGAACCAACCGTAAATAAGCTACACTGAGACAAGTTAAGAACGCCACTGCCAGATGCGGTATCAAATGCGTCAACATCTGTCAGCCATCCACGATGGACACCTCTGGGAGTCTGCCGCCTAGCCCAACTGCGTGAGAGTCATCCTGCCCCGTGTGATTAATTAACTCGCGTCGGCCTTTCGAATGGCATCGATTGACACGCTGCTTCAAACGCGCGTACGCTTGATGTCAATCAGTACTTCCACCTCATCCGATTGGTGGCAGCGATAAAGCACTCGCCTCGCAACCAAAGATTCACTCACCCACACAACTTTTCAGGCACACCAGGCGGTTAGACCTATCTGGCAGCTGTCTTATAACACGGCCTTTGTACCGTTAATTTTTTGGGAGTAAATGTCTGTCTACCAATACTGTCTCCCCTGACCGTTGAGATGGGGAATTTTCTGCTTGTCGACACTACTATCTACGACACACCATCCACACATTTATATACACGGGCATTTCTTGAAAGAGCAGTTAAACAATCGTTAATATGTAGGAGTCTTAGGATTCAGTGACTAGCGGAAGCACTCCTTCCAGTGTTTGCTCCTATGCTAGCCTTGAAGACGTACACAACAACGGGGGTGATGAACAACAACTGCTTAAAGAAGAGCGAGCTTCATCGAGGTGCGAAAATGGTACGTATTTTGCTCACCTTAAAATGTTAAAAATTTTGCATTAGTAAGTGACTGGTCTGATATAAGTTCCCGGTGGTTTGGGGGATCTAGGCAGATTTCTGCGATCCTCCTTGAACAAGATACTGAAAATGCACACATGCAGTGGAATAGTTCGTCTTCATGTGCCTACTTAAATTCATCAGCATTAGAGCTGCTGTTATTTTGCCTTCCTATTCCAAGAAAATGTTCTTCACTGTGACGCACTATTAGGTCGACAGTGCTGCATCAGAATGTCACTGGCTTGTTTCGTATTTTTCAATCTACTCCCATTTGTGTATTTACAGTGCTGCTTAAGTACCACGACTACTGCTCACTGAGTGTGATTCAACTCAGTCTCACAGTAAACGAAGAAGCTTTGCATAGAATTATCTGGAAATTTACAGTTGGTTGCCTTTTTGATGAGGTGTAAAGATTTTTACAAGGAAATCCCTGTTTCGCATCACATTTCTTTCTAATTATTTCGGGATTTCTTTTTACAAATAGTGATCAATACCACGATTTTCATTGGTTTGTCGATTTGTCATAAATAAAGATTATATTCTACGTCCGTATCAAAACTTTCAAAATAAGATATTCGATAAATCCATTAAGTTGAATTTAGTGTTTTTGGGCATTATTTCTACTGCACCTGTTTGTCTGTGTCATGGTTTTTCAATCACAGAAACATCCAACCAATTGCCGAGGAGAATAAACGTCTCTAACACTAGTCATAGACTACAATACCTAGAATCAATTATGCCTCACGATTACGTATCATGAGCGCCGCTCATATCAGGTCTGATTGCAGTTGTTTCAAGTGTAGCGTCCGAGCTGGGAAAGCCTGGTGGATTGCGGGAGACGGGAATAGGGACTAAAGGCACTGGATCAGGTTTAGGAGCTGCGCGAAAGATATTCCCTAAAAGAGCGTCCATTTAATCAAATGGAGAAGCGTAGTTATTATTGAAGGGATTTATGACGATTAATGAAGATGTTATTGAACGAATAATGTTTATTGAGTAATATCGAATGAGAAAAATAAATCGTAGGGTGAAAGAGATGTAGAAAAACGTCAGAACTTATCAGACGCGGGGACGAAGGGAAGATAGGGCAAAGCAGCCAGCGATCACTCAGCCTGAAACCGAAAAACTGAACTTGGCAACCAAAGAAACCAATTAAAACAAAAGTGGGTAGGCACGGTTTATTGCATAGCCCCCCCCCTTCTAAGATGTAGCACTGTCCTCAGTGCTGATGTCGGCTAGGGGGGAGGAAACAGTGACCTCTAAGGCCACAGGAGGGACTAGGTCAGGGGAAAGAGCACTGACGTCAGCATCGATGTCGACACAGGGGGAGGACACCGTGATCTCTGAGGCTACAGGGGGGACTTGGTGGGGAGGGACGATGGTTAGGGGGTCGGGGGTACAAAGGGGGAGTCGGCCGCGGTAGGCTTTAGGCTTGTCAAAATTAGCAGTGAAAGGGGGACGGGAGGGATTCGAGGCGTCAAGTCAGAGGAGGGTAGCTGGGGGCATAATGTCGACTATGCGGTAGGGTCCGGTCCAGGGGTAGTGAAACTTGGAGGAGGCGCCGCGTCGACGGGA